CCCCCCGTGTTTTTTTTTTTTTTTTTTTTTTTTTGTGGTAGGGGGGATCGAACTCAGGCCCTTGTGCTTGCAAGGCAGACAGTAGAACCACTGAGCCAAATCCCTGGCCCACCCGTGTTCTTATCCAGACTGCAAACACGCTCCCCTGAAAACATGGGGCCTTTATCCTCCTTCCCACTCTGGTGAACACACTTGCTTTGATGAGTTGAAAATTCTGGAAAAAAATTTTTTTCTGAAAAAGAAGAACAGTGATAACCATACGATCCTGGCTAACTGCGGTTCGTGAATAAACTTACAACTGCAGCCTGACTGTCCACACAGGCTGGACTGATTTAGTCTCCTGCACCTGCGAATGGGGGCTGACAACAGCACAGGGTGACGGATTCCACTGCTGCTGTGCGTGGGGCTCCTGGCTGGGCAGCAGGTCAACCTCAAGGCCATGGAACGCCATGTGGAAAGAGCCAGCTGGAACTCTTGAAATTCTGACTTTAGATTACCCACATCGGCTATTATATTGGATCTGTCACCTGGAAAATCCTGTCACGTCTCCCGACTCAGTTTCTCCATTTGTTTTTTGCCTTTTTTTAATTATTTTTTTTTTTGGTTTTTTTGAGACAGGGTCTCACTATGTGGTTGAGACTGACCTGGAACTCACTATGTAGCTCAGGCTGGTCTCAAACTCACAGTGATCCTCCTGCCTCAGCCTCCTGAGTGCTGGGATTACAGGCGTGCACCACCACACCCGGCAGTTTGTTTTTTGGCATGGGGATCGAACTTGGAACCTTGTGTTTGTGAGGCAGGCAGCAGAACCACTGAGCTAAATCCCTGGCCCTTGTTTGTTTGTTTTTAAGACAGATTCACTATGTAGTCCAGGCTGGCCTCAAACTCCTGGTGATCCTCCTGCCTCAGCCTGGGATCACAGGCATGTAGCACCATGCCTGGCTCTCCATTTCTAAATGAGATGAGAACACACTTCACAGGGCTCTTGGGGAGTGAATTTAAGGTGCTTTATTAAAGGTAACTCCTGTACTTAGCTGGCATTAGCTTTTCCTAAGTGATACTATGGGGCGAGGATATATTTTATTAGGTTGCACCAATCTCACCGCCTGGGCACCTGCATGGGGAAAGTTTCTCATCAGGCAGTAACTTAGAAAGATACAAAGCCTTCCTCAAGAATCAAACCATAGGGGCTGGGGATTTAGCTCAGTGGTTCCGCTGCCTGCCTTGCAAGAGCAAGCACCCGAGTTCAATCCCCAGTACCAAAAAAAAAAAAAAGAATCAAACCATAGGGCCAGGCATTTAGCTCAGTGGTATCTCTGCCTGCCTCGTGAGCACAAGGTCCTGAGTTCCATCCCTGGTACCAGGAAAAAAAAAAGAATCATACCATAAATTGAGCTAGTGTCACACACCTGTAATACCAGCACTCTGGGAAGCTGAGGCAGGAGGACTGCATATTCAGACCCAGCATAGGCAACTTACCCTACCTCAAAACAAAAAATACAAAGGGCTGGGGACGTCTGAAGATCTTGTCAAGCCTCAAAATCAAAATGCAGGGCTGGGGGTGGAGCATAAAGCTTGTGTTTCTACATGCGAGGCCCTGGGGTCAACCCCTAGTACATTAAAAATAAAATTAGTGGGACAAACAATGATACGCTGTCACCTTTAACTCTGATGTATGGGTGCAATGGCTCATATGTGCAAAAATAATACCAGCTGCTTGGGAGGCTGAGACAGGTGGGCTGCAGGTCAGCCTGGGCAATATAATGAGACTCGGTCTCAAAATAATAAAACAATAATGATGATGATAACTGTCCACAGTTTAAACTCAAAGCCCGGAAGCTCTAATGTAAAGAAAGCGTTCCTCGGTCAAGCAGGAGGGCAAGGAGACAGGGAAGCTGGTTTGTCAGCTGGGGTCTCCGTCCTCCAGCCAATGGGGTTGCTCCCATTTGCAGCTGAATGTGCTCTAGCATCTGCCATCCCAGTCTCCCTTCGGGACCCCACGCTCCCTGGTGGCTGCTCTTTGCTCCCCACAGTGCAGGAGGATTTGAAGCAGGCTCTGTGCTGCCCCCATCAGCCCTGCCGCCAAGCCCAGGGCCCACTCCTACTGCAGCATTCGCACGAGCCGTCCGAAAGCGGTGCTTCCTTCCTCCCTTCTCTGTCTGTTCCCTCCCTTCCTTTCTTTACCTGGTAATTATGCGTTTATTTGTATGTTTATTTGTTGAGTATCTTTTTCCCCATAGACTGAAAGCTCTAAAGCAGCAGAAATCAAATGTATTTTTCCCCTCCAGTACTGGGGCTCGAACCCAAGGCCTTCACACTGAGCTGCCTCCTCAGCTCTGTCTTCACACCCATATCCATCATCGCTTCACCCCTACAGAGGCCCCTGGTCACCTCCTTCAGGCCGGCTGCACACCAAGGGACTCAGGCTGGTGTGCTCCCTGCCTCTCCTCCCAGCCTCTTCTGTGCATTTGGATGTGGCTGCAACAGGGCTAGGGCTTTGGGCCCAGGTCCCAGAGTCTGGGGGTCCTGGCCACTCTCAGGGGTCACAGTGCCTGTCTTGCACCTGTGTGGGCTACACCTCAGTCCTGTGCTGTCCCCGAAGGTGTGCTGATGTCCCACAGGATGTGGCTCATCCTGGATGGAGGGAAAGATGAGAGAGAAAGGAGACAGGTAAGTCCGTGTCAGCTCCCGACCGTGGAGATCCCTGGTTTACACAGCAAACATGCGTGAATGCAAATTTCACAAATGGAGCAAAAGAAAGGGAAAGGCCACTGCAGAGGACACTGCATGGCGTGAGCCCTGCATCTCACGTATCTGTCCCTGAAAGTGGGGGGACACAGAAAGACACACGGTAAGAAAGCCATGCACCCCAGACTGGGGCTTCGGGGAGGCTCTGTGGAGCCTGAGGCCTGGATTTGTCCTTAGCCCTGCCAACCTGGGTTCAGACCGCAGGCCTAGTGGTGAGAGAGGGCCCCACACAGTGAGCCGCTGTTTCCTGCTGGTCCTCACGGCAGTGCTGGAAAACCACACACGCCTCTCTCAGAAGCCAGAAGGGCCTCTGTCTCCCAGACTCACGAAAACTGCCCTGGTGGTTTTGTTGCTTTGTTTTTTGGTACCAGGGATCGAACTTGAGACCTTGAGCTTGTGAGGCAGGCACCAGAACCACTGAGCTAAATCCCTGGCACTTTTTTAAAAATTAGCTTTTGATGATAGTGGGGATGAATCCCAGGGCTTTCACCTAGCTACACCTCCAGACATTTTTAGTTTTTATTTTGAGACAGGGTTTGAGCCCAGGCTGTGATCCTCCTTCCCGAGTACCAGGATTACAGGTGTGCTCTACCGCTCCCCGCTGGCCCTCAGCTTCTGACTGTGCCTCTTTACCTGTACAGGTTCAAAACGCAGTTCATAAGTCTTGGACAGGTGCCGTCGCCAGCGCAGCTGCTCCGGTGCCCACTTCCCGCAGCACACACACCCATAGTGCACTCTGGCTGACGGGCGGGGACCCGCGGCTGTGACCTGTCTGACTCAGGCCTGCCAGGCTGGGTGTGAGAAAGGCCTCTCCCTGCGGTCCCACTCTCCGGGCTTGGCTGGGACTGGCTGTTGCCCTACTTTATCCCTGAAGGGTGCTCTGACTCCTGAGTAACTGCTGCTGTTCAGTGGTTGCTTCCCACCCCAGGACTGCAGCCACTCGGCCTGAGCTTTGTAGTGTAGGTGCTGCTCCGAGGGAGCTGCTCTGACATCCCAGTGCATGTGTGGGGCTGGTGGCTCGGCCACGAGTGGCAGCGGAGATGGGTTAGTGGCCTTTGCGTGGCTCTAACAGAGGGGCAGGAGCAGCTCCTGACCTCACAACAGAAGCAACACTGGGCTTCGTGAAAACAATGCCAAACCAAGGAGGCCGCTTCCAGGGCACCTGGCTGGATGCGGGAACCTGATTCAGATCTCTGATATAAAGACGGAAGAGAGGGGGAAGATGCCTTTCTGAGCAAGTTCCTTTGAAGCCATTTCTGGTTTTAACTTGCCTTTCCAGCGAGGCAGCAACCTCGAGGAGTTGGCAAAGGCCCCGTACCAGCTCCCTGTGGTCTCAGTGGCCATATCGGGTCCACACAGGGCAGGCGGTGCCACGGAGGGCGAACCAGAACCTCAAGTAATAGGCCAGAAAGGACTCAAAACCAGAGAGAAATGTGAGCATGGTGGCACAGGCATGGAATCCCAGCATTCTGGGAGGCGGAAGCAGGAGGAGTGCAGATGCAAGCTTGTGCTGGGTAACTTACTGCCTTCACAAGAGCTTGTCTCAAAAATAAAAATAAGGCTAGTATAGTGGTGCACACTTATAGTACCAGTGCCTAGAGAAGCTGAGGCAGGAGGGTCGTAAGTTCAAACCCAGCCGGGGTAACTTTGTGAGACCATCTCAAGAAACAAACACAGGGCCAGTGATTTAGCTCAATGTTTCTGGTGTCTGCTTCGCAAGTGCAAGGACCCGAGTTCAGAGTTCAATCCCCGGTACCAGGAAAAACAAAAACCAAAAAAAATCCCACTTCCTAGTAAAAAACAAACACAGGGCCAGGGATATATATAGCTTAGTGCAAAGGCCTTGAGTTCAACCCCCAGTATGGCAAACGGAACTGAAAGGAAATGTTACTGGGGAGTGAAACTATTAGGGTCAAGCACCATCCCACCCAGTATTTTTTTTGTTTTCCTGAGACAGGGGCTCACTATGTAATCTAGGCTGGCCTAGAATTTGTGATCCTCCTGCTTCAGCCTCCCAAATGCTAGGTTTACAGGCATGTGCTACCATGCCTGGTTTAGGCAATTTTTTTTGTCTGTTTTTTTGAGACAGGGTCTCACTATGCCGTTGAGGCTGACCTGGAACTCACTAGGTAGCCCAGGCTGGTCTCGAACTCACAGTGATCCTCCTGCCTCAGCCTCCCAAGTGCTGGGACTACAGGGGTG